AAAGAAAAGCGGACATCTTGACACCGACGATCGAATCGCCGGGTCATCTCGAACACCGCCGCCGTCCGGGCCATCAGCGGCAACACCCTCGGCGGTGAAAAGCCGCCACGACCACGGCCGCACGAAAGGCCGTGGTCACACAGCTTCCCAAGGCCCTCAAGAGCGGTTCCAAATCAATGATCGGCCGTGATGACGCCAGTACCCCCATTTCTCTGGTTGACTCTCTACAACCCGCCCGCCAGATATAGGGGAAGTCCTCCGCCGTCGTTGCGGAGGTAGAACCAACCGTCATACCAACGACGGTTGGGCGTTGACAATTGGGCCGGGATGTAGAGGGACTGCCGGTCTTAAGCGCCGTGATGAAGGGTACAGCCGCCGCCCCTCGCCTTCCGAGCCCCCCCTCGTTCCCCGGCTTGGTGGTGAACGTCGCTTTCCGGAACAAGTGGAGCCACAACTCCCGGTGGGGAAGCGATCCCCAGATACCCCTCACGACGGCGGCGAAGATGGCCGCTGGGCGATGGAGTTGGGGCTGAAATTGTGCAGCTCCACGCCATAGTAGTGCGGGGCGCCCGCATGAAGTTATCCACCGGCGACCAAGCCTCGCTTCGTGGAAGACGACGAAGCTCACCACGTAGCCGTCAAGCTGCCTCGGCTCGACTTCGTTCCCGGAGCAATCCACTCCGCTCGTCGTCGGGTCGGTGATCGGGCGAAGAAGACCGGCCTCCACGAGCGATCGCAGCTTCTCCTCGGTGACGTCGGACCGCCCCGAGGATCCGCCGGGGAGGATGACGGGACCACCACCATTCATTGCGCGGCGGCGGAGGGCGCCACTTTGCGGTAATCTCTCCCCTCTCTCTTTTGGTCTCTCGCCCTCGCCCTTCTCTTCCCGGCGCTCTATGCTCTCAAAGAACGGCACGGAGGCAACAAAAGCGAATGCGAGAGAGGTAAGAAGGGAAGGGCGAGGCCCTTTGCGTTTATCAAAGGATAAGACGAAAACCGCCGGGCGCGGCGAAATCGGGAAGTTTCCCCAAAAAATCCGCGCGTTATCCAGATCCGGTCTTACCGCCACGCACACTCCTCCTCGTTAATCGCGCGTGCGGTGTACGTCCGTCGGCTTCCCTCCTCGTTAATCGCGCGCGCGTATCGCGTCCGTCCGACGCCACGTCGCCCGTCGCGTCAACCAGCAAGAAGCAAGCAGGAGCCGTTTCGCCTCCCCGAAAAAGCCGCCTCAAAAGACGCGCCTGCCATTAATTAACCGTAGGGAGAGAAATAACCCCCCCGATTCCTTCCAGGCAAAGGAACTGGGCACCAAGCCCACTACGGTCCAGGGGTTCGAAGGCTGGGCCCTTAGGGGTTTCGACAGCCGCCCCAGGGCAACAGAGTCAGGGGCAACTACGGGCGAGCCTACACAGGCCGAGGCCCAAGCAAGCGAAACGCTTGGGACGCCCTGTGTTGTGTCCGAGACCGGCAGGGAGGTCTCCGAATGGGATCCCACCGTAGGGAGGCACCGAGCCACCGAGGCCCAGCGAACGGCCTCGGCACCCACTAGAGAAACCCTCCGGTACTCTTGGAGCGCGTCTCGGACCGCTAGCCGACCCCAATGAACGGGTGCGGGCCTCCACTCGGACTTACCCGATAACACTCACCGGAAGTGCCATCGCTCGCGCCCACCGAGGGTAGCGTGGCACATTCCACCCCTCCTTCCGAGCGAAAAGGAAGCGCGAGGGTCGAATAAAAAGTCGAGAATCCCTGACGGCCCTCTTGCTCCGTGCAGAGGCTAAGGGACTCTTCCTGCAAAACGTTGCCGAGGCCCAGCGACTTGAGCTCGCACACGAGGGGTCTCGGCAAAAACCAACCCTCCTTCCGAGCGAAAAGAAAGCGCGAGGGTCGTTCAAAAAGCCGGAAGAACTCCTGACGGCCCTCTTGCTCCGTGCAGAGGCTAGGGAGCTCCTTCTGCAAAAGACGCCGAGACCCCGCGACCTAGGCTCGCACCCGAGGGGGGCTCGGCAGTCAGACCCTCACGCGCGAGGGGCGAACCAAAAGCCAGGGGACCTCTGACCGCTCTCTCGCTCCGTCGAGAGACTCTGGGGCTCCTCCTCGCAAACTTTGCCGAGACCAGCTGCTCAGCTCGCTCACACAGAGTGGGCTCGGCAGCAACAGCCCCCCGTCCGAGCGAAAGGGCCAGGCGGGGATGGCAAAAAAGTCGGGAGGACCCCCGACCGCCCTCTCGCTCCGTCTGCGGAGGCTCGGGGCTCTTCCTGCACCCAAGATAAAACAAGCGACCCGATCCTTCTACGGTCCAGGGGTTCGAAAGCTGGGCCCCCTGGGTTTCGGCAGCTACCCCAGGGCAAAAGAGTCGAGGGGACCACGGCGAGCCTGTCTGAGCACGCCTGTGTTGTGTCCGAGACCGTAGGGAGGTCTCCAAATGGGATCCCACCGTAGGGAGGCACCACCGAGCCACCGAGGCCCAATGAACGGCCTCGGCACCCACTAGAGAAACCCTCCGGTACTCTTGGCGCGCCTCCCGACCGCTTAGCCGACCCCCGTGAGCCGAACGGGCGGGCCTCCACTCGGACTTACCCGATAACACTCACCGGAGATACCATCGCTCGCGCCACCGAGGGTAGCATGGCATCTTTCACCCTCCTTCCGAGCGAAAAAGGAAGCACGAGGGTCGTACAAAAAGCCGGAAGAACCCCCGACGGCCTCTCTCGCTCAAAGCGGAGGCTAAGGGGCTCTTTCATAACATCGTCGAGGCCCCATGATCCGAACTCGCACCCCCATGGGCCCGCAAACACGATCAAAACGCCTCACTCGAAGAGAAAAGCCCTGAAGAAGTGAAATCACTCCTCCAGGGCCTCAAGGGTTACACCCAGCGTGAGTGCCACAGCACCACCACCAAAACCTCGAAAACAAAACACCATCCCGGCAGGGAGCTATCAAGAGCCAATTCTCGTGTAAACCTCAGGGGAGTGCCTCCACTCCCCAAGGCTCGAGGGCTCTTGTCGGATACCGTGAGAAGGGGTACCCTAAGCAAGATCCAAAAACGATCGCTTAGATTTCGTAAAGATCGAAACCAATTAAGTGCTGCGGCCTCGGCCGATTCTCCGACTCGCCCGAGGCCCCATCACCATGGGCCTCGGCCGATTCTCCGACTCGCCCGAGGCCCCATCACCGCTGGCCTCGGCCGATTCTCCGACTACCCGAGGCCTCATCACCAAGGACCTCACCGATTCTCCGATTCGCCTGAGGCCCCCTCACCGCGGGCCTCGGTGATTCCCCGCCAAAGGCCTCGGCCGAGGCCACCGACCCTCCGGTCTCGCAAGAAGGCGGGCTCGGCGAAGACTCCGCTACCTCTTCCTTCTCCCGTCCCTCCGCAAAACGTCAGTGTCGCATCAACTCAATAATCTGCTGCCCCGACAACAGCCGCATGCCCACGACGAAGACAAAGAGAATGGCCGATGGGACAGAGGGCGGGGATCGGGCGGGGTTACCCGCCATCAGTACTAACCACCGTGCACATGGGTTGGCGCCCATGCCTCACTATCTTGCCAACTCCCGCACCGAGGACAATGCAGCGTGGGGAGCCACATCCGCTCTGTGGCCTCGGAATCGATGCCAGGAGCGATGAATTCCCTCCAAGGCCTCGGCAGCTTGCTCGAGGGCTCGGCGGCCCGAGGACCCATGTCCGCCAAAGCCCCCATGATGAAGCTTGGCCTCGCTCCTCTGAGCCACAAATTTCTACGACGTCATCACGCGATGACTGCCGTCCCCTTGGATCAAGCGGGGTTACCCGTCACTATGCTATCCACCGTGCACATGGTTGACACCCATACCTCATTTGTCTTTGCCAACTCCTGCTCCAAGGACAACGCGCAGCATGGGGAGCCACGTCTGAGCTATCATGGCCTCGGAATCGATACCAGGGCCAATAACTCCCCCAAAGGCCTCGACAGTTTGCTTCACGGCTCGGCGGCACTGAGGGTCCATGACCACCGAGCCCCCACGATGGCTCGGCCTCGGCATCTGCAGAGTCATTGCTCCCTCACGACGTCATTACATCGGCGACCAAAGACGTCGCCGCCATGTCCTCGCATCAAGCCGTCATCGAGCCCCACGACGCACAAGACCGAGTATGACCAAAGATGTCACTTCCGCATGACAAGGACGGGCCACTCCATCGACCATACCACAACAATGGCCGACCTACGAGGCTCGGACCGCCACCCCATTTACTGAAGCGCTATGTAGCACCACATGCGGTCCCGGTCCTCCTTAGAGTATAAAAGGGAGGGATCAAATATTTCTGGGAGAGGCGGAAAAGACGAACACGCCGATAGAACCCACGCACTCCTCTGCCGCTTGGGAACAACGCCTCAAGCAGCCCACACCACACTCGCCGAGACACAGGGCTAGTTCCTCTCTCACCTAGCTTGTAACCCCTACTACGAGCACTCCGGTGCAAGGAATACAAGATCGATCTCTCGGATTTGACGTAGGGCCTCGATTGCTCGAACCAAGATAAACCTTGTGTCTCTTTGCGCCACCATCCAGGATTAGGGGCACGCAGCACAAATTCACTCGTTGGTTGAGGGACCCCCGGTTCCAAAACACCGACAAATTGTTACTTGAAAATTGCATGGGTCCACCAAACGCCAAAGAGAAAAAAAAACCCTCCAAAATCCAAATAGAAACGCAGGGGGGGTATTTTCACTCTAACCTTTTTCGTCACCTTTCTTTGTTCCTCCAATCGCAGCCGCAACAACCAGAAAGGTAGCATATGTACCCTACACTCAACCAACACACGAGAAAACTACCTACCCTAGCTAGCATGGCTTCCTCGCCTTTTCGTTCCCTCCGTGCTCGTCAAAGAATCACCCACCACGTCCATGTGAAAGGGAAACCGATCGAAACCGCAACAAACACATACGCCTACTGCATGCCTACAAATCGATCGACCAGCAAGTTGCAGCTAGCGCCGCCTGTAAACCACCAGCACCATGCCGCCGGAGGCCGCCTCGTCGACAGGCAACGTCACCGCCCGCATCCGGCGTCCGCTGCCGGCAGAGCGGCCGCACGTGAGGCGGTGCACCAGGCTGCTGTGCTCGGCGTTCCTCACCGTGCTCCTCATCGCCGGCGTCGTCCTCTTCGTCGTCTACCTCGCCGTCCGCCCGCACCGGCCGCGGTTCCACGTGACGGCCTTCTCAGCGTCGGGCATCGCCCCGTCGTCGCCAGGCGGCGCCGGCGCCGGCGGCCCCGTGGCGCTGTCAGGGCAGCTCTCCATCCGCAACCCGAACCGGGACATCGCCTTCTTCTATGACCGGTTCTACCTCTCGGTGGGGTACCGCGGCGCCGACGTGGTGAAGGACCAGGCCCTGACGACGGCGCCGCTGTACCAGCCGCCCAAGACGACGTCGCCCCTGACGTTCCAGGGCGTGGCGGCGTCGGCGGCCGGTGGGGACATGGCGCGGGACGCGGCGGAGGCCGGCGGCAGGGTAGAGCTGACGGTGAAGGTGCGGTCCAGGATCCGCGCGCGCCTGGCGTTCTGGGGCAACCGGCACTGGCACCCGCTCCACGTCGGCTGCGAGGTGGCCGTGGGACCCGACGGCCAGCTGCTGGCCGAGTACCTGCAGAAGCGCTGCAGCATAGACTTCCTCTAGGGGACCAGAGACTACTAGTAGAGTCGATTACTACTAACTACTATTGCTGTAGTAGTAGTGATAACAATGTGATTTTGTAAAGCAACGAGTGGCAACTACAGCACAACAACAGCCTATATATATTCTTTCAACCGCGAACCCATTGTAATGAACTGGTTTAGTCACTAGGACTGCTACTCCAGAAGGGTTCAAGTTCAGCAATAAAGCATGCCTGCAACATTACATTAGCCTAGCTCAGTTTTGGGCCACAGATAGACCCCTCATACATACAGTCACCCTAATCTGAATCTGACTATGGAAACTGGAGAAACATCTGCAACTACATCGAACAAATGACATGGGCTGGTATATACACATGAAACCAAGTCAGCTACACCTACCAAATCTCTGAGTCACCAATCACCACCCAACCCTGGCAGGGGACTGGATCATCGACATGTGCACCCATTGGTTGAGACCATCCCCTGAACAAAACTGCATCCCGGCATTGGTTGTTCAGAGTTCACTCCAGCAAGGGTACACAATCTGGGGTGGCAAGTTTTCTGGGTCAGCAGCACGTTCATGTTTATAGGCAAAGATGTAAGGAATAGAAGTTCCGAAGCCGGCACATCATGTTTAAATCTAGGATTAAACAGAGTACAGTATGATCTTACCTCTTTATCTCATCCAATCTCGGGTGCAAACAAGTGCCTCGATGGTCTTGACGTTTAACATGCTGTGGTGCTTTGGAATTACTGGTCCACTGCTTGTGAATGCTGCTGCGGATTGAACAGCAGATGCTGGCATCGCCAGGATGTCTTGCACAATAGCTGCGAGCATCGGGTATTTTGTGGCGTGACACATCCACCAGTTCAGGATATCAAAATCATCCTTCCTTGGAACCAAACCATCCTCGAGGTAGTTGTCGAGTTCCGTGGATTTCTGCCTGCTCGCTTGCTCATTGAGGTGCTGATCCCAATCTTCAAATGAGTCACTATAGTCTATATCAAAAGCTTCGCTTTTTGGCACACACCCATCCGGCTGATCCACTGAACTGCAGTATTCATTGAAGAGTTCCTGGAGTGTTTCGCGTATGTCAGATAAGTAGCTTGCTGACTGTAATCCAAAAGCTCGTTTCAGACGGAACTCAATGAAACTGAACTTGAATCTAGGGTCTAGAATAACAGGTATGCATAACCACAAGTACGAATTTTGCCAGTACTCATTGAATGTTTCCTGCGTCTCTGTTACCATCACAGTGATTTCTGCGTGCTCACTTGATGCTTCTTCTTGCAAAACTGTTCTCACTTTCCATATCTCATTGAAGTACATATTTGCTGTCGGAGAACTAGAGGTAGAAATGACTTCAATAACACGATAAAACGTCCTCAAAATCTTGCAGATAGACTCAGCAACTATGACATCCTCTGGAGATGCTGCTTCTTCAGAAGGAAATGACTTATTGAAATGAAAAAAAACTTCAAGCCAGAAATAAAGTTTGTGCCACCACTTAGCATCTTCTTGTGGACACTTTAAACTCATCTGTGAAATGACTTCCATAAGCTGTTGTTGATTCAACGATGAAGATGTATGTGCAACAAAAAACTGTGTTACCATGTCACCGACAAGGTGAATGATATTTTGTTGCACTTTGGAAACAATAGTGTTAAGGACATCATCCACACAAGCAACATTATATAGCTTGCCTCTGATAGGAAGGCATTTTTTCTCTACAAGTGTTTCCTTCAGCTTCAAGGAACTTACATCATTCCTAACCTCACCAACAGAAGTCAAGCTCAAAAGCTTATGATCAAGATTCCAATCTCTAATGGCATCCCATACGACATTATATGCTCCACATTCAGACTCTGGCACACAAGCCTCCTTATAATGTATCATCCTTTCCACATCAGTAGGTGAGGACCGAAACATGCCAAACTTGATTATCATTCGATGAACTTTCCAGTTGTTATCAATAAAATGTGCTGTCAAACAAAGGTAATTTACTGTTGGTTCGGCTCCATCAGGAGTCCAGATGCTTGCTGACAGAGAGACACGCCGGGAGGAAAGAGTCAATTGATCCTTAAGTTTTGCCTTTTCCTTCTGAAATAGAGCACAGCAATGTCCTTCCATATCATTGTGTGAGACTGCATCTGCATGAACCATAGGGTTGAGGTTCTTTACAAATCTTCTCATTTCTTCATGCTCTACAATTGATAACGGATAACCATGCGAAACTATCATTCTGGCTAGCTCTTGATAAGCTGTTCCTTGGTCAACCTTCCTCATTTCACTAGTTGTGGTCGTAAGTGAGGTTCTCTGTTTCTTCAGGCTTGGAAAATCTTGTGATCGCAGAGGTTGATGTGCCGGCACCACTTGAATGGGTCGGACAATAGGGGAAATGTCAGCAGAGCTACTAGACCTGAAGAGTTTGCTGGAGTGTTCTGCTATCTGAACCTTCCCATTTGCCAAGGCAGGTGAGAGCTCATCTTGCCCAATGGACTTCAAATTAGGAGCACTAGAAGGGTAAAGCGTTCCCTTCTGATTACTGTAGCCCCTTCGTGCCTGACAGGTCAGCAGATGTCGACTCAGATGGCTTCTTCCCCCAAACTTATTTGCACTGAGGCGTTTGCGGCAATGCACACAGTCTGCAGCCTGGAGTTTACCCTCGACATAGATTGGTGAAAACTCTCTCCACACCTTGGACTTGAATCTGTTGGGAATTACTGAGTTTATGTCGTCCAGTGTCTCTGAAATAATCTGATTCACTGGATCACTTGGTGTAACCGGTTCACTCTGATTCACCAAAACTGCATAAAGAATCTGGATGGTTACACGCATGCCACAAGTGAATCGTCTTTAAGAAATGAAACAAGCACGGCACTAATAGACTCGAGTCACTCAGGAGAACATGAATCATCTAGGAACTAATGCACGAATCCTGAATAGGCAAAAGCGCATACCACATGGGAAGTAGGAATCCTTGAGCCGCCGAAACGCCGCGTCCTCCTTGGCCGGGCAGATCTTCTGGTGCCGCCAGAGATGGCTCGTTCCGTTGGAGTCCTTGCAGCTCATGCGGCTGCGGCAGTACAGGCACTCTGCAAACTGAACCTTCCCGTTCAAGAAGACGGGCTTGTACTCCTCCCACACCTTGGACCTCTTCTTGTGCTTGTACCTGAACGTGTTGTGACTGTGCACCCCCTCGAATGCCGCTTCTGCTCTCATGCCATCCTCCTCCTCCTCTTCATGCTCTCCGACTTGCTGAATTATATGGTGCTCCATAGCTGCACACACTGCAACATCCAAGTATCAAGCAAGTGAATATCATCGCCAGCATGCGGATAGCTACAGAACGGCCATAGCAGAGCAAGGAATCTCGAACGAAACACACTAGACAGCTAGAGGAAGAGCAAGATCTGCGTACGCATAGCACTCCGCAATATTCACCAAAAACTAACGGATCGCATCACAAGCGGCGGGCGGGAAGCCCAAATCGTTCACAAACACGCGCATACAGGCCGCTCAACCGAGAAATCAGCTGGGAAATCCGACGAGATCGAGGCGGAGAGGGTCACCTGGAGATGGAGAACCTTGGGTCCTCGCTGGGAGGGGATCGAGACTCCGGTGGGCACGGTTTGGGCATCGAGCTGGGTCTGCGGGCGGGCGGGCGGGCGGGTGGGCAAGGGTAACCCATCCGTTAGATTGGGCCGATTCGATCTGGATGGGGCTTTGATTGGGCTCGAGTCCACTTCAAGTACCTAATCGGTCGTGTGGGCTTTGGGTCATATTAGGCCGGCCTTTTCACTGTTCTTTTGCCCTTTCGGTTTCTTTTCTCTCTTGCATTTGCTAATATACTGTAGGGCCTTCTCGAAAAAAAATGCTAATATATTGTAGGGTGCTCATTAATCCGATCGATATATCAAGGATGAACCACATGAATAAAAATATTTAAGTTATGCAGTCACTAAGACACTACTGCTGACAAAACGTAAGGATCGACCTGACTACCTGATAAAGCGAACAAGGATAAACTGAATATTTGACACTTCGATAGTTGACGCAAGTGGCATACATAGACGAACACTCAGTGACTCAGGAGGAACAAAAGTTTCTGTGCGCGAAAAGCAATGTTCTGTGCACATTTTATACATACAATGATACAAATGGCACTGCACTCTTCCTAATGACCTGTTTGATCATGATGCAGTGCTACACAGCATACTTCCAGCTTCCTACAAAATTGTCTTCCAGCTGCCTATCAACCGATTATTCCACCCCCTCTACCTTTATACAACCCCACCCAAAGAAAGATTATATAAATGTACACAAAAGAATAACACAATCAGCCACCAGGAAGCAGCATTTGCCACTTCCAAGTTTGGACAGAACGACGACCTTGTGTACTGTACACAAAAACCCATGTACAACTCGGATCAATTGATCAAAGTTCTCAATCGTATCACCAACGATTGCATGCTCTCGAGCTTTTCGCTAAGCTGCCTGATGCCCTCGGTGCGGTTTTGATCCTCAGTGTTGCTTGCCTGGGAAATCAGTGCCACACATTTGGCCTTGGATTCGGAAATCTCGCCTTGCAATGAGGAAATGGTTGCTTCCAGTGTGGTTTTCGAACCCATGACGTCCGCAATGGCTTGCATAGTTGGAGTCCGAGGAGTGCCTATGCTACCAAAACTGTTCTGCCTGCTGAGCCTCCTGGGTGAAAAGATATTGTCGATGCCTCCACTTCCTGTAATAGCACAATTCATAAGGACATTTGGATCCTATAGGAAAGGATAGTTGCAGAGCCTTTTTCTTCTCGGTAAAAAGTTGCACATGTAATGGGAGTGAAAGAATAGAAATAATAAACATTGAGAAAGCTACAGCACTGAGAACAATGAAAAAATTCCTTAGCCTTTGCAACAGAAATTTGGTAGAAACCTTATTTTGCAATATCTAGGGTTCTTTTCAGCATAAAAAGAAACATGTCCTGCCAATGTTCTGAAAACCTGAAGTTTTGACATGGTTGCAAGACCACACTAAGCATCATTTTTCTTTTGATGAGAAGAGTAGACCAACATAAATGCAACAGTGTTACATGCCTAGCCTCAGATGAATAGTGAACAGTTATGAGGGATAAAAATGAGCTGAAAAAAAAATCTAAATCCCAGAGAATGTACAACAGTATCATCCAGATTACTTGAGGGGAGCTCCATACCTAGGTTACGTAGTTGTTCTATAGTTCCTTGCCCAAGAGATTTGTCAAGTTTAAGGAGACGAAGAATTCCAGCAGTGATCCTCCCCATTGCATCAGCTTCAGATCTGCAAAGCATCGCAAGGTGCTCTAGTTCTTCTTTTGTTGCAACTGCCTTGATCTGCATGATCAAATGGATAAACGGTTCAGAAAGCAGATTCAAATCTGTGACAGGTTTAGACAAGTGATTAAAATGTGTTCATACCGGTTCTTTGACAGAAAACTTGACATTATCCATTGTCCATTTGGCACCCTCAATCTCGTCTTCGCCGATGACCATGGTAGCTTCAACATCAACCCCTTGGTCACCAACTGAACTTGAACTATTAAATTCACTGGCCATTTGGTGATTGTTTGATGATCCTTTTCGAGTGAGCTGATCTCTCAGGCGAGGTTTTATTGCCTGTAAACCTTCAATTCCAGCCTGCAAGCACAGAGCATCCAACAAGTGAACAACAAAAGGAGAAAGTGCCAAGCTGAAATGCAACATTATGACAGTCATGTATGTTGTACCGTAAAGCGTTCCACTGGAAAAGCCTTTTTGGGCGACACCTTTCCTCCGCCTCCCAACTTAAGTCGGTCACTGCTCTTGCCAGAGACATGTATATTCCTGAAGGTTGAATGCCAGCATTTTTCTTCTCTGCTGATACGATCACCTCCACGAGGAGAAAAACAATCTCCTACTTCTTCAGTTCCTTCAAGTGCAAATAGCCAATTTCTAAGCTCAATTGATACAGCAAGATCATCTGGCACCCCGAGATCAAACTTTGAATTGTGATCATCAGATTTGGACCTTTCATCTGTAATGTTAAGGAAAGAAAAAGAAATCCATGACTAATGTAATGGAAATGCAGCAAACCAAAAGATTGAGAACTTGGCCTGCATCTAAAATAAGGAAAAAGCATTTTCTTCATAATACATTATTTCAATAGTACTAGTTACTTGGACTGAGGTGCAAGTGAGACATTCCATGGATGGTGGAAATGAAAAATGGTTATTGATCTGAAATCATCAGTTTTGTGAATTTAAACATGATCATATTGTGGAGAAGTTGGTATCAGCTAATGCTAAAATATGTAGTTAGAATTATCATGGATGCCCAAGGAATGTTGGATATACCTATCTGATTATCACGTCTCAAATCATGACACAGGCTGTTTCCCTGAACTATACAACAAAGTAAATGTCACAGTTGCGAACAATTTACCTTCCTTTTCAGTGAGGTGAGAGGATTTAAACAGCTTCGCAAGTGGACCTGAAGATAAATCCTTCAAGCCCCTCAAGAGTCCTTCCCCTGGACCGCCATCAGGACCCAGGATACCAAATCGATGCAGCAAAGACTCAGTGTAAGAAATTCCACCTCCAAGACGAACACCAGATACCTTAGCTGATACATTCAAGCTATGGCACTCCATATCCTGGATATCATAAGGCATTACATGAGTGATGTTTATATCAAGGAACTGAGCTTCTTTAGCCTGGTGTTTGCTCCTATGATCAACCCAAAAGACTGCTCTCATCTTCGGGTGCCCATTTTCATGCACCAGAATGATGTGTTCACCAGTCACTGCAGTGCCATTCTCACAAATCATAGCACTTTCTCCTTCTAAACAGTTCACTGAGACAGTTCTCCACATCAAGTTAGTCGTGACTGCAAAGGCACCACCTAGAGTGCGGTGAGAAACTTTCAGGAACAGATCTGCTCCACCAAACTGAACCAAGGGCATATGTAGATCACTTGCTGACAAAGATTCCAAGAAATTGAGCTGGAGGTTATTCATAGTTAAACTCACAGATGTATCACTTGGCAATTTATTCTCTGGCTTGTCAGCAGATGACTTGACTGACTCAGACCTGTTACCTTTGCTGACCTTTGAGATACGCTCTGCAACTTGACCAAAGTAAGTATAGAAACCTAACACAAAAAACAATTGCTCAACTGAGGTGTTGGACGTAAACTGTTGGAAAGCAACGCCAATTCTTACAACACCCTCTGGAGGCGGTACATCCAACAAAGGGCTGCCATCTGCTGTAACCATAGCTGCCTCAAATCTGATATCATCTAGTTCAATACATTTCCACAAATTTGAGTCCCTAACTGCCCTCTGTCCATTTGAAGTGCTAGAAGTTTCAAGTGAGAGGCTTAGGTGAGAAGCCCGAGTAGCCCACTTCATCTGACTCGCATCAACAGGTTGGTATTCCCACAGAAGGAAGCAAGCTGGATCTCTGTCAAGGTTTAGCAATGGGCACTTAGCTGATGGTGACTGGCAGAAGTATAGGTCTTCCACATGAAGTCGTGCACCCGAAAATGATGATTGAGGGCTAGTATTCTTGGTTCCACTGCACCTTGTGATTTCCTCAGCATCTAATGGAACAGAGAGATCAAACTCTTTAAGTGAAAATGTCAGGCTATTGATTGAAGACTCAGGCAATATGGCACCACGATTAGGTACAACTCCATCAGCCAAGAATGAGGCAATTCTTAAGCACGACTGCTCCTGGAGGGTTACCTAAGAATGAAAAAGCATAGGCAATATTTAATTAAGCAGAAAAGGCCAAACAAACATGCTTCAGTGTAATGTAAAGGCGACGTACCGTAAGAGGTTGGCATGTGATGACTGTTTTTGAAGCAAACTTTGGAGGTGATGGAGAAGGAGTGGTCTGAAGACAATAGAGGGAAAACAAAGGAACTCCAGCAGCGAATTCTAATAGTTGATTGCCAAATGGATAGATAGGAGGGCAAAAATTTTGACCTGATAAAACCATCAAGATCAGAATCAAACCATATTCATGTGGATATCTTACTGATACAAGAATTACAAATACTTTACTCACCAAAGTCAGGCACAGGTGGAGGTTCTTGTGAAACTGCTTGCATAGACGGCTGTATCAATGTGCATGGAGGACGAGAAAAGGTGTCTCTGCAGTTAACATATCCGTACATGAGGTCAGCAAAGGTTCTTGAATCATTCTGATAGCTTAGATCCCACATTCCCTTGTATTAATTCAAATTATTTTTTGAAGTATCCTGTTTTCAACATCATATGTACCTTGGGTAACCTAAGTGACAGTCATTGTTACTATTGACAGTTTTATGCTATTTGATACTTTTGACATGGACAGTACCAATATCCTATATTCAGCACTGTGAGGATTGAGGAACCTCAGCTGTGCATTAATCAAAATAATATTGGTCTAATGACATTTAATACTTTAGACATGAAGGGTCACAGTGCCTCAATTTGAAAGTGAATGGATACAAACATCAGGACTTGTGCAGTCTTGAGTAGCAAGGACAGATATAGTACCTCAGAAACAGCCCGCCGACCTTTATGCAAGACAATTTCTTTGAGCATTCGCCGTCTGAAACACTCGCCTTTAAGACAAAGAAAAATCTTAATTAAATCCTCTATGAGGTCATGCATTCTAAATCAAGCATATCATCAGCAGACAGTATTAACAGTGAACAAATTATACTGTAAAATCTAACGGCGGTTGGAGAAAATTACCCGTGAGAAGAACAAAGACTGCATGAGAAGTTCAAGTTGAAACTCTGTTTGCACCAATGATTTAACAAACAAGTCACAATAGCAGGACAAAAAGGTAACATATTTCAAGTTTTTGGCACTACTACTAACCAGTATCTTTAATGCAGAGGAATATGTGATCTATGATAATGGACACCAAGGAAGATCCTGCTGCTTCTGCAAGCTGGTAGAGAAATAAGGGAAGGAATAAGGATAAAGATGAAACCTATATTACTGCATGCAACGCAATATCAAAAGCACGCAGAAGTAAACCTGCTGAGCTTTTGGATCTACGTCTCCCCTGTTTAGGCACACAGATACCCCAGTCATGAATCGAAGAAAGGCCCGTAAGCCTGTCCGAAAAAAATTTAAGTTTGAATTTTTGCAAATAGAAATTGAAGTACTGAACAGAATGGTCAAGCTTCATAGATAAGAACTGGTTACCAGGTTCACTTAAGGCAGGACAGACAGCTTCAGTAATATGCAGCTGAACCTCAAGCCCAAGTGGATTGTTTTGTTCTGTCCGTTGAACCGTGATCTGACGTTCAAAGCAATGTGTGAGCCAAGAAGCCCCGGAAAAGGGAAGTTCAGTAAAAATGGACAAGTTAAGAGTTTTACACAACATGTTATAAAAATAAAACTCAAAGCACTCACATTAGCCTCTCCAGATATTCCTTCCAAAAATCTTTCACCACCAAAGAACATTCGTTTTGCACCATCATCGTCTCTTTTGTTATCTTGACTACTAGAAGAGTTAAATCTTGCATCGGTGAACATGTCAGGATGAGGCAACAGATCAACTGACAATGATTGCCACTCCAGTTTCTGTGAATTTTAATAGATATACGTGAGATCAGAAATCCTTTCTGAGTTTGACAGTCTTAGTTTGCAATAGATCAGGAAACAGTAAAAGCAGGTATTAATCTTCTGGAAGCAAGTAAGGGGCATCAAACCTTAAAAACATAAATGAACCCTTTGTTGTTGGAGAAATCCCTTGCTTCTTTCAAGTTTACTACCTGTAAACATGGCACTGAAATCAGGCAATGGCAAATAAATCATTTAATAAATTAATTATAGTTCTTAAAATCACAATTGAGTACCTGCCATTTTTCATTTGTTGTGTACAATACAAGATCACGGAATGTGATTGCTGCTAGTGGTGGTGACCTGATAATTAGAAGGATTAGCATTCCTTTTTCCAGGCACAAACATTGCAGCGAACTCTACTTGGTGGAATAAATTTAAGACAAACAAACAAGAACCAAGATATGAAAAGGAATATAGTAAAAGGGCACCAAAATGCTGAAATATAGGTAAATACCATGTTGCATCTCCTTGACGGCGAGCCCCTCCATGTGTTTCCAGTAGCAGGTTAACAATCCCTACTTGCACTGTCATTCCATCTGCAATCTAAGCCCGACATAGAAGATTAAGTTCAGTTCTTGCAAGTATATATTGTTCAAAGTTATCTATATAGTATAAAACAGGAATAATAGTAAAACGGCAGAATATCATAGAAGAGGAGGTATCATCACAGAGAAAATGGATAAGTTGAATTTCAGTTATCATGGAGCTGGCATTCCAGTTATCACAGAGCAAACATCAGAATATTGGTAATGAATGCATAAACATGTGGAAAGCGTGTGCGCTAAACATAGAGCGCAAGGAAACATACCTTATCAGCGTAACCATATCCGCTGCTCTTAGTTGCTGATGATGGAGATGATGCAGTGCTAAAAAGATAACAGAAAGAAGTACAATCACGGACTGCTCACACGATAGTTGTAAATCACGACATAAATAAATGAAATTCACCTGCTAGGGCTGGAAAGATTTTCAGAATCGTCCTTCTCTACAAGCACGAGATCAAGCTTGTCAATGTTGACCTCAATTGGCTCTAATTGCACATTTGATACAGATGGTAACTGCAGTGGTAAACAAAAGAATTCCGTTACCAAAACTAACAAAAGTAAGGTTATTAACCACACTGTGAGGCTGTTGTTAACTGCAACTCAGGATTCGCTGCAAATTGAACGCCAAGTGTCAAAATCTAGCCGAGATGACCCCCAGGCCACTATAACTGTAAAACATCCAAACTAGAAAAACACCAAACCCGTCCTTTACGGCCATAAATGCCATAATTCTGAAAACAGGTCAAAAATTAACACAAGTGCAGCAAATGTAACATGAATGCGGAGCTAATACAAAGAATAACTTCATGGAACCATCGTGTTACCACAACCGCGACTGTACAACTCTAATTTGCTTAGCTGAGAAGACAATCTATCGCGACTGACAGTCAGAATCCCAAGTTCAACGCAATTACCGCATTCTACTGCCCACGAAGTACAACTAGAGTAGAGGGGAAACAAAATTCACCGGAACATATCAAACGTTGGCAACTTGACTGCAGCGTGGGCAAGCATCTGCCACCAATGCGGCCCATAAGCCCCGACTCCCGAGAGAGAAACAGCAAGGCAGCTGATATACAGAGAGTTACGAGCGGGAGGGTGGCTACATCTTATCTTACCGTGATCTGGAGCTTCCCGACACGCGCTGTGTCGACGGCGAGCGCGGGAGGCAGCCCCAGGCTCGCGTGCAGCGCATCGCCATTGATATCTAGGAACCCCGCCAAATCACACCGAAAACCAAAAACTCAGCACCCGAATCACAAAAAAAGAAAAATAAACGAAATCTGCATCCGGGGTGGGAAGCCTCAGCGGGGCGTAGGGAACCCACCGAGGTTGGAGAGCTGCGCGGTGCGGCCCTGGAGCTTGAACTGGTCGCGGGAGAAGGACTTGAGCCAGTACTTGAGCGTGTACTCCAGCGCCCGCGCTATGATCGACTCCATCCTCCCCCGCCTCCCCGGACGGTTCCCCTGGAGCGGCGCGGCGGCGGGACGGGTCGGCGGTGGCGAGCCGCCGGATCGGAGGCGAGATTCCGGCGAGATGGAGAAAGCGGAGGGGGGAGGGGAGGTGGAGGGGGTGGAACTGCGAGGATGTGAGACGAGATGGTGGGCCCTTTTAGGTCTGAGACTGGGACTTTCTTTTGGTTTAAGCTTTTTTCTACTTTATTTTTTCTTCTTTTGTTTTAATTAAGGAACTCGAAATCTTTTATATATCCTTCCTGTTGTAGCCCCGTAGGACTGCCACTGGAACATCTGTATGGGTGTGATCCTTTACTTGTGGATCTATTTTGGGTACATGTTAATGTTGGTATTTCAACCGTTAACTCATGTCCTGTTTGTTTGGCTGATAAGTCATGGCTGAAAGTACTTTGTTGATTGATTTGTTGTGAGAGAAAAATATTGTTCGTTGGCTAAAAAAGTACGACTTATAAGTCAAGTGAACAGGGCGTCATTCAATTCAGTAACTTTTTACTATTGTGTGGTAATAATTCAGCTAGATTTATTTATTTATGTAGATTGCAGATTTGCAATGCATTGTTTGAGAAATATATACAGAGGTAGCAAGTAGTAACAACCAGCAGCATAAGAAGTGATTCCTATTTGGTTATATATAACCTATATAACTCAAACAATTGGGTGCCAATTAGGTTGTTTAATCACGTGGACAGTTAACCTTGGAAAGACAGTTTTTTTTTGGTATACAGAAGGTATCATTTGTAGTGTAATTAGCTGAGGGAGTGAGCACAAAGGCAGATTCACTCTACCGACACAGAGGACACCTTGGCCTCATGGTCATACTGTAGAAGTCACTTTCTACACATGCTTCATCATTATACTAATTGCATCAATCCCGACCCTATTTAAATTGAATCAAAGCTGTCGCGTGGCCATGTTACCGGTGCTTCCTCAATCCATCAAAGAATATAATTCTTCCTTCCCGAGAAAATCAGTTTAAACTTTGACCAAAAATTATATAAAAAAATATTAATACTAACATTCCTGATGTAAAATTAGTATCATTAGATTAGTCATATAATATATTTTTATAATAAATTCATTTAGAGATATAAATATTAATATTATTTACTATAAATTTGATCAAACTTAAACTATTTTGATCGGCACGTTGCATTCTTTTTTAGACGGAGGGCCAGTGACAAATCTAACCGGCACCGGAAAAGAGTTACGGGAACCTTCGGTTGAAAGTAAGTTAATTCCGAAGCAATTACAACGAATGAATCACGCACGCATAATGCCAGTCGCTGGTTGTGCACGAAGCTTCACCTCGCGGTAAAGCTGCTGAATCAATCAGCCTCGAAATTCGGGACCCGCGCGCGAGGGGAGGACCGAGGACCGGATCTGGACGCCGGCAGCAGGGAAGGCAGATCTGGACGTTTGTTTCCGGTGGGAACAGAACAGCCCAACGCATGCTTGGGTGGGACCAGGCGACCAGGGAGGGATTGTGGCCTGGAGCACGTGACTGAGATAGGTCTATGCTAAGCAGAGAATAAATCACAGTACCTAATTAATTGCTTGGTGGAAACAAGAATCCCAATGATGACGATGATCTATGCTAAGCACACAATGTTGTCCATGCATGTGTTACTTATATGTTGGCTCGGTTCAAACTTTGAATGTGTTGGTGTTCTTTATGACCGTGCAAGGACCAAGGACCAGGTGGTTGGTAACTAGTAGGACACTCCAGTCATTGTTCCCTGGCTAGATTGGACATTTTTGTCAAAAAATTTATAAATTTAGCGTAGTATCAAATCGAACTATTTCAAAATTGATCAAGTTTATACAAATAAAAGAAGTGCCATTAAATTTCAATAGAATATTTTTACGTTTATTTTATGTTATAATTACTTATGCTATCTTTTTCCAGACTTTGTTATGCTTTTGGTAGTTTTGAGTTTTGACTAAGAACGGTACTATATTCAAAGTTCACAAACATAGTATGCCAGATTATCAAAACACCTTTCTGGTGCGTGCAGCAACGAGCCAAGTATCCTATGTAACGGCGTCTTTGCTGCGGCCACGAGAGGAAACGAAATAGCAAGTGGACATTTGCCGGAGCCTGCTTTAGATGGGGAGGATGCAAAGTTTTTAGGAGTTGTCGAGTTGGGGAGAGTCGGGACACAAGAGAAGCCGGCGTGAGCATATAGAGTCAGGCAGAGGCAAAAAAACTACCGGGCGCACAAGGTAGGAGCAGGACGACGTGCAGGCGACGTTGCCTACTCCTTCTCGGTCTCTTTTGCATGTTGTCTTTGGTTGGTTAGCACATACTATAAATTGGCGTCCCAAGTTGACACGCTATGTCTTGTCCTGACCCATGTATCTTTACTTCTCTTTTGCAGGTGACAAAAACTTTGTTCCGGGGCAGCGGTGGTCGCACAGTGTATAATCGACAGGACTACGTCTCCTCTAGCAGTACTTGCGTGGCCTGGCGTGACGATGCATAATCCCCATTGCCGTTATCCAATGGTCGCCCTCGCCGATCAGCTGGTCGCAGAGGAGGAGCACACACCCGCATCCGGAGTCCTCCATCCCCACCATCGTTGGCATAAAGAATTGTGTCACCATACATTTAAGCTCGAGCCTCTCCGCCGACCGTCGCCGATGATAGAGGAAGAGCCGTCTCGTCCTACCACACCCCTAGTGGTATGTAATCTCTCCAATGCGATGTGAATTGACACTCCAGTCACATTTTGTTGCAATACAACTTCCCATTTTCATATAAACTAAAGATGCAAATTGACGACATCCCCTTTTGTCGGTGCAGAAAGTGATCAACAAGTAAATATTTGTAGTTTTGTCGTACGTTGTGGTCGGAGGTGGCCTAGCACTCAATGACACAGGGTTTATACTAGTTCAGGCAACGTGCCCTACGTCCAGTTTGAGTCGGTCGGTGACTTTATTCCTAAGCCCAGGTGCTCGAAGTTTGCAGTGGGGTTACAAATAAGAAGGAGAAAGATGGGGGGTACAAGAGGTCCGGTGGGACTCCGGTCGGAAGGGCCGAGAGTGACGGAGCCCCGCTATGAGCTAAGTGTTCAAGCGTGTGTTTGTGGTTCAAACATGGCGGTTCTGTGGTTATGAACTAGTGAACTTGATCGATCTGGATGAATCTGGATCAACTTAATGAACCTAAATGTTGGGAGAGAGCGCATCTCCTTTTATAGATAAAGGGGATGGCCTTACAAGTGAGAGGAAGAGAGTACGTATGCTTATAAGCCTTGTTGCCCACACCGGCGGGTACAGGATGATGGTAGGCGCCCGCAACACTGTTGGATGTCAGATGCACGTGGGATGTTGTGTTGTTTTCTTTGGGTATGGCAGACGTCAGCGCCTGCCACACTGTTGATACCTAGAGGCATGCAAGGGGTTTTACCATGTTTGCCTGGTACGGTAAATGCCGGCGCCCACAACACTATTGATGCCTAGAGGCATGTGGAGGAGCCTTACCGTATGGGAGTTAATGGCGCCCACAATACCGTAGGGGAAAATGTCAGCGCCTACAACACTGCTTGGGTTCTGTCGTGCCAGGGAGGTCGCAGAGTACTGTTTCCGCATGTATACAAGGTACGAACCCCGGTATTGCGGTTTGACTTGTGCGCCCTGCCTTACTTTCTCCGTCCGTTTCCTTGTCCTTACCGAGTGGGCGTCCCCGGTCGGTTGGTCCCAGTCGGCTCTGATCGCGCCAGTCGGAGAAGAGCAGTGAGCAGGGGTTTGGCGCATCCCCGGTCGGAGACGTAGGTCGGAGTCGGAAGTAGTGCTTTGATCAGGCCTTCCGGTCGGAGAGGCCGTCCGGAGGCGGGCTGGAGACCGAAGCGAGTGCTCCGATCGGATAGGTGGGCCGAAGTCAGAAACGGGCGTCGTTCCTCCTCGGGCAGGCCTTCCGGTTGGTGATTGGATCGCCCTTCTGGCCTGTTGTTCAGGTACTTGGGCCAGCCCATGAGGTGCGCTGGGGCGAGCCTTTGTTGGGAAGCCGATCCGTGAAGGACCCCGGGTTTATGAACCCAACACCTTTCATTTCTAGGTGGTCAAAGGATATCGCGTCCCAAAGGAAGTGGAAGCATAATAAACGTTTTAGACTAAGTACGCTTGCTCCTGATACTCGGTTTTGTCACATGTGTTTCTTTAGAATGTAGCGCCATGAAAAAAGCACAGTTATCAAGAGCAAGGTAAAATTTTAACTACCAAATATACTCATATTTACCGATGGTGTATTTCTAATTTCAAATTGCTACACATTCTTTGGCATTGCAATGACAAGCACATGCTAGGTATTCCCATATTTACCGATGGTGTATTTCTAATTTCAAATTGCTACATATTCTTTAGCATTACAATGACAAGCACATGCTAGGTATTGAATGTAGAGCTAGTGGGTGCAAAGTTCGACTCTCCATGTCATGTGACCTCGACTTGCATACAAACATAGGAGAGCGAAGATAAAGAGGAAGGAAAGGAGCCAAACGAGTGATGAGCGAGAAGGAGTTCCCCTCTCCACCTCCCCCTCTCCTCTTTTTATAGGGGGAGGTGGGAGGGAAGATTCTTATTCTTCCTCATGGTAGGATTTGTATTTACAAAAATGCCATCAAGGCTGCAAATAGGCTCCGAATATTATTTTACAAGCCTCTAGTGACGAGAGTCAAACATAGGAGTATGTAAAATCCCCGAGAGAGGCTCTTAATTAATATGTCCCCGACCGATCCATAGCCCCTAGGATCGTTTAGAGGCTCAAGGGCTATACCCATTGGGTACGCTCGTGCGCACCCTCAGGTCAGAGTTGGGTAGAGCCTGAGCACACCCATGACCACTGCTCAGGGTCGAGGGCTCGCTAGGCCTCAGGCTCCTGAATAATGGTAGCCCGAGCCTGACTCTAGCCTGGCTCCAACCCGAGCTAGAGCTCAGACCAACAACCAACATCCTGAGCGTCGGTC